TATACTCCCCCGTAACGTCAGTTGACTTTCAACGGACTACACGGCTTTATATCCAAGAGGATACTTGCTTTCAAATTTCCATCTGTAACCAAAGAAACCACTCTTCCAGAATTCCAACTCATGAACCTTTTCGCTAAACCATGAGCCAAATTGAAATTAACTTTTGGACTATACTCATGTATCCTGCACACAAGGAACCAAGACCACAACAACAGCAAGAGCAGGTGATGTCAATGTGACGAGAAAATCATATCACCTTGTTTTAAACCACTCTGCATAGGAAACAAATCAGATAAATATCTACCCATACGGATTTTACCAAAAGTTTCATTTAAACACATTTAATTGAACTAAATAGCTTTGTGTGTACCCGAAGCTCTATGAGAACACTGTACAATATTTCTCTCCCAAACGAATCATAGGTTTTCTTGAAGTCCCACCGCGGCGGCCCGGGTTCGATCCTGTGTCTGGTCAAGTGCGATTTGTGATGGACAAAGTAGCGCTGGGGCGGTTTTCTCCGAGCACTTCGGTTTCCCCTATCAATCTTCATTCCACCAAATTTTCCATCATCATAATCACCCGGGGCAAGCTACAATAGGCCAATCAGTGGCCGCCGTGCCGAGTGGACCCACTTGGACTCCACCCCCACCCCCCACTATGCAAAATTAAATTCTTGAAGTCAATGAATAACTGATGTGCTGTCTCAGTGAAGTCCCATATTTTTCAAATATCTGACGAATGCAAAAACTTGATCGGCAGTTGATCTGTTACGTCGAAACCCTCACTAATGTTACCCAATAATTTCGTTCTACTATGGACTTAATCTTGAGAGAAGGCTATTGAGCAAAATTATGTATGAAGTTCATAAGAGTCATACTTTTCGAAAACCAAAAAATGTTGAGGATGATGATGATGACGATAAATGTTTAATGAAATACAGACAAAAGCATCTTGTCTTTTTGGAAGTGCGAATGAGTTTGAGAAAATACATTTGTAAGCGACTAACCGCTTGAGCTATGGCGCGGCCGAAAATATAGACTAACGTACATATAAACAAACAGAATCGCCGACCTTAAGTAAGAGCAGTTAAAGAATTTCTACTCACCAACTGCGTGTATTCATAATACTCTTCCTTCTGAACTGCGGTGCCTGGTAATTCTCCAGATGGACAAATTTCTGATGTACACACAGACTTACACACATACAAGCAGCCGATATACTGTCTGACTTAGTTCCTACAAGCGGTTAGTGACTGGCTTCCCACCGCAGAGGCCCGGGTTCGATCCCGGGTCTAGTCAAGTGGTATTTATGGGTACAAAATGGCTGGGGGTAGGTTTTCTCCGAGTGCTTCCATTTCCCCTGCCAATATTCTCCATAATCACCCTCACCTATCATCTGCGGCTGGTACAATAGGCCAGAAGTGGCCGCAGTACAAGGGACTTACTAAGTCAAACACTCTCCGTTAACATCCGCATTCAGGGCTCAGTCAGACACTCTCTTTACCGTCTTCACTTTCCCCCATCGAACGGCAAACACCACTTGGCCTGTGGTTTCGTGATATCAGAAGTGTCGTCGATACAGACCATACAGACGTCGGAGGAAGCCAAGAACAATAACTGAAACTTCACATGCGCAGAAGCATCTGACGCTACCTGACGCAGATGAACAGCAGCAGCGAAATCTTGAATTTTACTCGTCGAAAGGAACGAGTGATATTGGGCAACAAACTGAGAACAGAAACAAACAATGATACATTCTCTTTGGATGTCTTGAACAGTGTCGTGACGATCTCCTTTCATTGCCAACTTAACTTTTGGAAACAACCAGAAATATGCTGGAGATAAATCTGGCGAATACGGAGGATGATCAAGGATTGTGATCCCTTTTTTGGCCAAAAAATCGCCCACGATCTTCGATTTTTGGGGTGGGACATTGTCGTGGAGGAGCGACCAGGAACCTTGCTCTTGACATTCAGGTCGAATTCGAAGAATTCTCGCTCACAAACGAATGAGGACTCCGAGATAATAAACAGAATTCACTGTCTGACCTTCTGGCAGAAATTCCTTGTCAATGATTCCTTTGGAATCGAAGAAAACGGTTAGCAGTGTCTTTACTAGACTCTTTTGCATGCGCACTTTCTTTGGGCTCAACCACGCTGCACTCTGCCGCTTTGTGGAAGGCTCATGTTGAAAACACCATGTCTCGTCACCAGTAACAACCGATTTTGTAAAATTTGTATCACTTTGGGCCGACCGTAACATGTCTCTGCAATGTTCCACTCTGACATGTTTTTCATCACCTGACAGCGCCTGTGGTACAAGCCGCGCACAGACCTTCCGTTTCCCCTAATCCTCGGTCAAAATTTGATGCACAGTACTTTCTTGTATTCCCAAAAGCTCCTCGATGAGTCTTGCAGAAACACATCTGTCTGAAGCAAGGATTTCGGTCACTTTTTTCACATTTTTTTTTTCTAATGCGACTTGTTCTCGGCTTTGATGCACGTGGAGCGTCTTCAGTGTCCTCCCTGCCGTCATGAAATACAGCATACCATCGAAAAATGTTCGAGCGACTCAAACACTTACTGCCGTGGACATTTTTCATCATTTCGTACGTTTCTCCGGCTGTTTTGCCTAACTTCAAACAAAATTTGATGTTGGCTCTCTGTTCAACCACCATTTTCCGACAAGCATCAGAACAGTACTGTTACATTCAAGGTCAGAACACATGATGCAGCGATGCTTGCGCTTTGAAATTATAGACAGCCACAGCTGGAACTTCAAGAATCTTAACGCTACAAATCGCCAACAGATGGCATTGCAGGGCGAATTAAAAAAAATGAACCCTAACGGATCCTGGACACACCGTGTATATAGGCCAGTAATGGCCGCAGTGCCATGTGGATTCACTCTCACCCACTAAGAAAAACAGAAAAAAATATATAAAAAATGCATGTTCCCCTGTCACTTCTGTCATTCATATTTCCTGCCCAGCAGACTTAATAATTAATAACTTCCAATTCACGAAACAGCACAACCGACTATCGTGCGTCATGGAGTCCAGTATCTGAGAATCTACGAACCGTGCATTGAACTACGTCATAACGTTCATTATCAACTTTCGGACAAGCATGAGTATTGAAGGAAACCTATTTTCACGTGATTGACTATAGACGGGGCTGGATTTGTAATCTTGTAGAACATAATTACAAATAACTATGACACTCCAACTGAATTATATACTTCAAAGATTATTGTAATTACAACACACATAAAGTTATACTCAGTTTTCACTAGCCGTTGCTTGGTAGCAGTTTCCAATGGCGGATGTTCTTTTTCCTCTGGGCTCCCGAATTGAACCCGGCCTCAGCTACCAGCTTCTCATTTCTCACAACTGCAACTCTCAACTGACTGAACTCAAAAGTCAAAGTCAGGGTTACTTTACGACTGGAGGTTTACCTCCAATCAGTTCATCTCGGCATCAAGCCTCTTTAGACTCACGACCAGAGAATTTTTAACTGAACCCTTGCAATCTTTATGTAACATTCTCTCTGACGGGAAGATGAGTTTGTCTCTTGTGAATATGACTGGTGTTTGTCAAGTGTATGTATCACATAGCATAGCATGTTATTGAAAATTCTTCCTTTTCACGATACACAAATCCTCTCTCTGTATAGGGTTTTGCTAAGCAGATCATGCCTATCTTACGTACCTTATGCAACAACGGCAGCTTAGTCACTTGAAAGGTTGTAAGCTACTAGTTCTCATTATATAGCGCCGGCACGGACTGCAAAATGGGCGTCTCTTTCATTATTGCGTGTTCTCTCCTTGACGTGGAAAACTTATCCACAGAGGACAGAGCTGCAATAGCAATGGCTATTGTATTGGTTTCTGTTTACACAGCTATTACTTGGCAACGGGTCTAGGTGTTACCGTACATAAGTGAATATTTCTAGGCCCTCGATACTGACAGCATCGTTAAATGTGATTTCTTTATTTCGTTGGGTGGGGTGAGTCCACTTGGTACGTCAGCCACTAATTTGACTATTGTACTAGCCCTAGATGATAGATGAGATTTGAGCAGCTGGTCGAATGAGATTTGTCAGGGAAACCCGAAGTACTCGGAGAAAACATATCGTAGTGCCATTTCGTACACCACAAATCCCACGTGACTTTACCTGGGATAGAACGCGGACCGCGCGATCGGAAGCCGACGACTAACAGCTTAAGCTATGGCACGACCCTCGTTAAAGGAGAAATGAAAAATGTAAACATTTTTCGGCAAGAAAAAAAGAGAACATAAACTAACACAGATTTTCCTGAGGTCTATAATCAACAGAAATGTTTATTTTCGGGCAATTTTGCACCTCATGACCACACGGTGTCTGTCATGTTAACAGCCAGTGTAAAAGTAGGAAGTCTTGTCCACAGGTGGCATCCCAAACGCTTACAAAATCGGTTGCTCTTCGCACAGGGAGATACTACGTGTAACTACTAGTACATAGTCGGACAGGTGTGGGAAGGGTACGGCTTAGTCTCGGAGCGGTAGAAGGAGAAGCAATCAATTAGTAAGGGAGAACTGGCCTAATGTGGGACCCACTCTAATTAAACTGATTTATGAACGTAAAAAGAAAGTCCCTGTTATATTGACATGTTATATTAGCAACATTTTGATACCAAAGCCTTCTGTAATCAGCTTATATAAATGGTTGGGAGCAACAGAATGCTTACAGTTTGCTTCCACCGAGTACCCTCTTCGAAATTCGGACTCATCACGGGCGTTGGGTGTAGTGTCCAATGGTGAGTCCTCTTAATGCTTGTTTACTTTGAACACCAATTAATCTAAAGAAATAAAATTCTGTCCTAACCCATTTTCTTATTTCGTTCTCAGTACCTCAACGTCACTGATACAGAGACAATAATATCATGTTCTTTTTCCCTTAATATCTGAAACTCAGTTATCAAGAAGAAAACTTTAAAATGCCATTCTCTGATATGTCAGTGAATTTGATTTAGTCTACATGTCATTAATACAGGGCTATTCATAAGTCCGTGAAACATTTTGAAAATTTACAATAAATAAACTACGCAACGAATACCAAATTTTATTACACTGAAACAGAGATAAACTCGCCAAAGTATTTTACATAATTCACAGATGCTCAATGT